TATGGTATTGATTCCATCTGGGCCACAGCGGTGGACTTTCCATCACAGCGGCTGGAAGTGTTTTTCTTCATGGTAACGGGTAGTCTGGACCAAGAAAACTGATTCCCAATCCAACAAAAAGACGAGGTCTTCCCAGGAACAAATCAAGCTCCCCTGTGCCTGAGGAAGCCTCACAGCCTGGAGGGGCTTGGCTCGGATGCCCCCCTAGCGGGCTCCGGGGCACTGCCTGCTCCCTCGGGAGCCCTCTGGCCACCTGCTCCTGCCCCCCAAAGCCTTGGGCTACATGTTGGAGGGACGTGGTCCTGAAGCTCAGCTGGCCTCTGATCTCATCTTTCCCAGCCTCTTGAGCTACCCACATGGAAGGCACGTGTCTTGCTGCCCTCGCCTCCCCTTCTCTGCACACCCTACACAGCACCGGCGCACTGCCCAGACCCTGCTCCACCCAGGTTGGATGGGGCAGTGGGGATGCCACCTGCTCATGAGGTAATGCCAGGCATCACCTGGTCACTCTGCAAGCACGAGGCTCCCTGAGCCTCACAAAAACAGGCCAATTACTAGTACGATTTCATCTGGAGAAACAAGCTCACAGATCATCAATTTTCTTGAGGCTGCCTTGCTGCCAAGTGGAGACTGGAAACCAGATCTTCCAGACCAGAGACCCTTGCTCAGGCTACAGCCGGGGACTCCGGGACCCCGAGGAAGGGCTGGACCATGGCTGGCCTCACTGGATGACCCCCATGCTCAGGGCCCAACATCCCTTCGGCTGCATCAGAGCTGTGCTCGCCCAGGGTGGTCAAGACTCCCGGGGTGGACATTCCTCCTGGGCATTTACACACCTGCCTCCACACATAGGGAGGGCTTCTCACACACCTGCCTTTGCGCACAGGGAGGGGTTCTCACAAAGGTGCCTGTATGAATAGTGTGGTCACAGAGCTGACTGAGTGGTCCTATGGCTGGACTCTGTTAGAAGGCCTGGGCTGGCCATGGCAAACCAGGTACCAGCAAGTGAGGTACATGGCACATGTCAGGGCAAAGGTGGACCCCAGCTCCTGCCAGAGGCCTTCCTGGTGGAGACCCCTCCCTGTGCACAATCCAGGAAGCCGCCTGGATTTTAGAGCCATGCTGGGTGTGCACAGCAGGGTAGCGTCCCATGCACCCGAGTCGAATGTGCAGCATGGACTGTCCAGACACTAGGCCTTCTCCATGGTGACTGCAGCTCTTCTCCGTGACTTCTCTCCTAAAAGCAGTGCATCCTAGGTCCCTGCGGTTGGCTGTGGGGGTGACGAAGACCCCAGATTCTCTGCCCCAGGTGCTGGACTCCAAGTTTAACCTCGCTGGCCTCAGCTTTCACAGTAACCAGGGGACTCCTGGGTTTGGCGGCAGCTGCCCCTCCAGCCTGGTCACCGTGTACCTCAAGGACTACACATGGATGGCCAGGTGATTAAGATCAGATGTGCACCATGTGGCCAGGTGCCCCTGCCATGCTCACCCCTCTCCTAAAAAACTGCTCCGAAACCAGCTCCCCTGAGATGGTGCTTTGCTTTGCTTTCCTTTCCTTTTCTTAGGACTGGAGATTGAACCCAAGGACTTGCAACAAGCTGCAACCTCAGCCTCCCATCCCTTTTTGTTTTTGTTTTTTTGGTACCAGGATTGAACTGGGCCCTTGCGCTTTCCAGGCGGGTGGGCGTCGGAACCACTGAGCTAAATCCCCGGCCCCTCCCACCCCTTTTTGAGACAGGGCATCACTAAGTCACTGGCTGTCCAGTTAGGGCTCAAATTTGCAACCTCCTGCCTCAGCCTGCCAGAGTGCTGCCAGAAACAGTCCCTTAGGAGGGCAGTTGCTCTCTTCTGATCCATTAGTTGGCTATCTGTAACGAAGTTCACCATCTGCCCCGAGAGTCTGGCTCTGCGGTGCGGCACACAGACGGGCCCTGTGCCCAGTAGCAGCTGCAGGAGCCCCTGCAGATGGGGCCGGGCCTTGCCTGCTGGCACACCTGGCCGGGGCACCCAGTGAGTGTCAACCACCTGGCTCCCTCTGTGACTTGAGGCTCCTGCAAGGTGGGGCGGGGCCTGCACATCCAGCTCTGAATGCCAGACCTGGGCCACCCGCTGTGACTCCTCTGACCCCCAGGCCCAGGGAAGGCTCTTACACACCTGCCTTCACGAATGGCAGTCTCTCAAACGGACGGCTGTCCCTGGGCGTGCTTGGATCCGCTGAAGGCCCGGCCCAGGCAAGAGAGGCACATGGCAGGACAGAGTTGGCCAGAGCTGTCTGAGGACCCACAATCCTCCCTGTTCAAGGCTGTTGGTGCAGAACCACTGGCCACTGCGGACAGACACTGGGACTCCAAGGAGCACAGTCACTGCCTGCCTCCTACCCTGGACGGCGATGCTCTCCAGTGTGCGTCTACTCCGCGGCTTCATCACCGGGCATTTCTAGCCCATGGCAGCTCTTTCTGCATCTGTATTCCTCCCATAGGACTTCTGTCCTCCTCAGAGGAGATCTGACTGGTCCAGCCCCGCCTGGCCTTCAGGTGGCTCCTGAGAATCCTGGATACTGGGAAGGGGGGGCACTCGAGGTGAGGCGGAGCACCTGCCCCAGGCACACACCAGTAACTACACCTGGACCCTGCCGTGCCCTGCCCTGGCTGTGTGGCCTTTGGGGGTTAGGCACTAGGACAATGGTCCAGCCTAGGAGGGAGAGATCAATAGTGCCAACTCGGGGCCAAGTGGACAACGCACCCGGGTCTGGACACAAGTACAGCCCCGACCTGAGGTCCACAGGTGGGAGGAATGCAGAACTTGGGCAGAACCCCTGGATGGAGGCTGCAGGAGGCAAGCGCTCCATGTGGGAAGGAGGGGTGGAGCACAGGGAGCAGCCACCAGGAAAGGGGAGGACACGTGCCACCAGCAGAAGGGACCAGGCCTCAGGTTGGGCCGTACAGATGAAAGGGTACCCGACTTCTGGAACCCCCTTCTGGTGCTGACTGCCCGCCCACCCGGCCCACAGCCTGTGCTCTGAATGGGCCTGGTCCTTGTCACCAGCACATGCGCACAGGGGGCCGGAGTGTCTCTCTGGCTGCAGTGTTTGTGTCTGGCTGTCCAGGGTCAAGGGGCTCCAACGTGCACTGTGGAAACACGGCAGAGGAAAACGCCTTTCAAAAGTTAAAACATTTCATACAATCACCTGGGCAGCTCAGTGAAATGTCCACTCTGTGAAACTGCCACACTCAGCGGTACTCTTCCACCATGTCACCAGCACTAGGTCTAACCTTAGAGCATGAGGATTTTCACTTAAAAAGCACTCACTTGTGAAAAATTTCTTCTAACTGAAATAATTTTTAATTAAGAAATCCTGAACTATTAAGAAAGCACAGAAAGGAGCAAATCTATACATCTAAAGATAGGATTTGTGGTTTCACTGGCTTCCTGTTAGAGGGATCCCTAGCAGCTTCTTCTGGAGGGGTCGCTGCTGGCTCCTCTGCAGAAGGTGTGGAACTGGAGCCCCCACAGCAAGGCACCAGACCCTGGGCTGGCTGGGGCCAGGCTGTCTCCTCGGTAAAATCCCACCCAGTAGGAAATGATCGTGGGCTGGGTGGCGGCTGGGGACGCATCCATCCTGCTTTCTGGCTCATGATTTTCCTAGAGCAAAGTCTTCAAGTGCCCCGCTCTATTCACACCCAGACGCAAACCCCCAAATCACCCAGGCTCGCGGTTCCACTCATCCAGTCTGACAGCCCCTGCCGCCACTGCCCACATGCTTCTCCTCTACAGGGCCGAGGGCGAGGCAGTAATCACTGCATTCTGCCCACCCCCACACGACTGGACAGCAAGGACAGAGACTGTGCTTTCTACCGAAAGGCAGAGGCCTGTGTGCATCTTGGCTCTGACATGTCCTGGTAGGAACAGCTGATCTGCAAACTCCTTCCGGTGCACAGGGCGCAGAGTCCAACCTGATTAGTGACCAATGGGTTGTTGAATAAAGGGACAAATACAGGAGCCATCTTCATTGCAACTGAACTGCAGAAAGAACCCAACACCTAAGCCAAGTGGCGCACAGCACTGAGGGTCCTGGTGCCCGGCACACCTGTGCCCCGCAGGCCCCTCCTCCTGCTGCTCTGCGATGGCCTCCTCAGGCCAAGGTGGCTGTGCCACAGCCTGGGGCCACATCTGCCTCCAGGACAGCAGTCAGAAGCAGCCTGACTCAGGTGGGGACCTCGGGTGCTCCCTGGGGCGAGTCCTGCTCTGCCCAGGTGGACTAAGGGCCCTGTGTGACCCCCCAGAAGCTCAGGTTGTTAAATTTTGGTTACTTTCAAATGTGATAAAACAAAAAGCTACTTTAGAAAAAAATAAGAACTTTAATTCAAAATTTTCAAATTTACAATAAATACCTCTAAGAATAAAGCACAGACACAAAACTGTACTGCTGCAAGGTGTGCCGAGTCCCTAACCTTCAGAGTACCGAGAAACCCCATATTTGGAATGCAGGACTTTATTTCAACCCTGGTTATTATTTTTTTAAGAGCTGCATTTTTGTGGAACCAAATCATGTCGTGTGCTGAAGCAGGAGACAGGGGCATCTCTCAGCTTCCTCTTCAGGGTTTCCAGTGGGAGAGACGACCAGGAGTGTGTACTCCTTTCTCTGCCCATTTTCCATATTCCTTCATTTCCGGGAAATGAAGCAGTGGATTCCACACAATCGTCACACCGTGTCAAGGGAGCCACACAGGGCAGGCATCAACCCACATGGCTCTCACTGGCCAGGGTCCCCGCACACTGCTGTGCCTCCCCGGGGCCGTGCAGCACTGAGGACAATGCCTGTCCACATTGGGCTTCAGTGAGCAGCCAGCTCCTCCGGGCCAGATGAGAAAATCCGCCGGAATTACAGACACACTCCCCTGCCCCTCGTGGGTCTGAGGCACTCATACCAGGGACGCGGCTGCAATGGCCCAACGCCAAGTTGCCCTTCCTTTTTGTGATTAAAGCAATTAGCACTTATATCCGGGCCCCAAGGCAAACTTGCTGGGAAACTTTATTTTCATAGTGTAAGGCATGAAAGGAAGGTTGGAGGGAGGATGGGCAGAGGGCGGTGGGATGTACCCTTCTCCAGCTTGCTCCGCAGCAGCGATGCCTGACAGGACTTCCTGCAAGATGAAAACGTGTGCTTCTGCACCATACACCGAGCCACAGGCCACATGTACTGGACGCTTAAACTGTGTCCCGTACAACTGAGAAACGACACATTTTAATTGATTTAAATGTAAATCTCAACATATAGATAAGTTGCTGCCCAGACAGCACAGTAATGCTGAACTACAGCTATCCTGCAAGAAACAGTCCTAAGAAATTCTCTAAGAAAGGAACATGATTTTCTTCCGCACTGCTCACCACTGAGTCCTGACAGGCAATGAGGCCAAGTGCTGCTGTCCCTTCCTTCCACCTTCTAGCTCAGTCTCCCTGTGAGGACGGGGCTCAGGGCCACATGGGGATGGGCATCATGTGACCCGGGGCTGAAATTCCTTTTAAATCATACACGCAGTGGTATAATCTACGGCCACTTTCCCCCTTTTTGTAATTCTTCTCCACTTTTTCTCTTTGTTCTAAGAGATTGCTAAACCAGGAAAAAGGGCTGGAGAAAACCTCTTTAATATGGCATACCTGAATTAAACTGAACCACATGAAGCTGCACAGCGTGGGGAGCATGGGTGAAGACACGTATGTGTGTGTATGTAAGAAGTTCCATGGAAACTGCTTTATTTCTGGAAGCCTGAAGCTGCATGACCCAGGGCCTTCACTAGTGACCATATCCTCTCCATAGGAATACAGATGACTCTAGATAAAGCAAGGAGGTTCCAAACCTTTTAAACGGCAGTTGTTCCTGCCACTTTATTTACCACAGGGAAGATGCCTTTGCTAGGCCCTTTCTTCTGCTGTGTGATTTTCTGACCCACGCCCCCCCACAGCTGGAAAGCCCCGCGGCGTCCAGGACCAGACACGTGTTTTTGTCGCGGTGACACAGCTTGCGTGGAGGGTGCCGTTCACTTCAGCCAGATCCACTTGTCACCCACGTCGGCATTGTACCCAGGGGCGTACATGCGGCCCGGCAGCTGTGGGGAAGGCAGCACACAGGATTAGAGAAGGCACGGGTTGAGGTCGCTGTGGGGTGTCTAGCCCCTCGGCCACTCAGCCACTCTGCAACCTGGTCAAGTGCCTGCTCTGCTGTGCAGGTCCTCTGCCTGGATCCAGGGGCGGTGGGGATAACCACAGGGCCACTGGAGAGGGGCCGGGGACTAGTGCAGACAGCGGGGCCAGGCCCAGAAACACTGCATCCTCATGCTGTGACCACCACGCCTAGAAAGTGGACTCTAGAAATTCAGGAATGGGGCCACAGCAGGACAGCTGCGGAACCACAGATGAGCTGCGGGCTGAAGCTGTGAGGGTAACCCTCAGCCCTCTCCCTGCGGCCTCCAAGCCCTATAGGGCCTCTCCTTCAGGGCCCCAAGGGCAGCCTCCAGGCAAACACAGGGTGCAGGTCAGGGCAGCAACAAGAGGTTGCTCCACACAGCAGGCGTCGGCAGGCGCCTGCTCCCGGAGCAGTGACCCGGCGGGCTGCAGACAGACTTCCAGGAGAGAGGCTGCAGTGTGTGGGGCACAGGCAAGCCCGCTACCATAATTTCTTAGGTGGGAGAGAGGACTGAACCCAAGGCCTTCATACTGAGCTACATCCTAGCTCTTTTTTATTTTGAGCCAGAGTCTCAATAAACCTCTAAATCACCCAGGCTAGGCTTGAACTTGCAATCCTCCTACCCAGCCTCCGGAGTGCTGATATAACAGGTGTGCGCCCATTGAGCACTGTAGCTTTTATCAAGTTATAGCAAGTGGGAACGGAAAACTGAGTTCACTCATACTTCAAGTCAATATGGACAAGCAGCACATTTGTACCCAACAAGCACACACTGCCTCCCAATCCTGCCCTCTGCAAGAATAAGCACTAGGACCTCCTCCTCTGACAGCAGAAGGTGGCGGCAGCTGGCACACCAGCCTCAGGCAGCCTCTGCAAGAGCACCACGCAGGGCCAGGAGCACCCCAGCTCATGCCCGTGAGTGCCAGCAGCACCCAGGCTGTCCCTGAGGCCAAAGAGCTCAGAGACAAAGGCAGCCCAAGCTCTGGGGCTTCAGAGGCCCAAGTCCACTCGCCTCTCTTGGAGAGCCTTGCTGTCCAGCTGCAGTCTGGGGAAGCCTGTAACGGGCTCTCTGAGCCTGGAAGTGGGTGATCCCTGCTGGACCTGGGCTGGTTCTGGCTTCCAGCCAGGCGTACGGTGTGTATGACAGTTTTATCTGAGTACCACGCCTATTCTGGGACACGAAAGGAGAAAGCCCAGCTTCCCAGGAGTTGGTGATCTTGGGCTGAGACCAGGAAGGGGGCAGAATCACACTGGGATCCAGCAGGGAACAGAGTGCAGGCAGGCATCAGAGGTGGGCACTCGGGTTAGGAGGGAGCCCTGGGTTCCCAGCCTTCCGACCCCGGTGCTGGCAGAAACTTGGGCTGGAAGCACTGTGCACCCTGTGCCACAGGGGTGGCGACAGGACACCTGTCACGGCCCCCAGAATAACAGGAAGGTGCTCTGCTCAGGAGGGTGGGCTAGGTCTGGCTATGCAGAGGACCAAGAGGCAACTAGAAAACCTCGTCTGCAGCTGAGACTAAGAGGGAGGCAGCACCACCAGAACTGAGAGGAGTACAGGTGACGGATAGAGAAGATGCTGTGGAGAGGACTTGGAGTCTGGGATGAACAGGTCTGGACAGAGAGCTGAAAGGGAGGTACACAGGCCCAGGAGGGGACAGGGAGGGCCATGGTCACAGCACTTGACACAGGGGGCCTCAGGCCAGATGGTGGCCAAGAAGTGCCCGCCAGAGCAGGGCAGGAGAATGGTGGGAGAAGAGACCATGGTGGCGTGACAGGCAGCCAGTAATACAGGAGGACAGGCAGGCGAGGCTGCCTTTTCACAGCATGCTTCCCTGAGCCCGGCAAAAGAGCGTGGATGTGACAGCCGCAGATGGGTTAAGGACCTCAGATGAGGGCTGGGCCCAAAGCCATCCCCACGTCCTGCGAGAGGGCTCCATCAGAGGCGGACGTGAAGGCGGCGATGGGTGTGATGGCCAGGGTGACCTGAGGCTGGGGCCGGGGATGCAGGTGCCTCTAGGAGCTGGGAGAAGAAAGGAACCAGAGCCCTGGCAGAGGGCGTCACTCGGCGTTGGGACTCAGACTGCCGTGACAGGGCGCTAATCCAGGAGGGTCTGCTTTCTGTGAGGAGATAGAGCCCAGGACAGACACACAGGCAGGAGCAGGCTGCTGCCAGCACAGACCCTCAGGCAAGGCTGGGCCCCGCCCCAGAACTGCCAGGAAAAGCGCTGTTCAAGTGGCCTCACAGCGAAGGGGGTCCTCGCAGATTTACCAACCGGACCAACCTGCAGAGTGCTGCCACCCCAAGAACAGAGTGCTCACAGCGCCCACAGATCGCCAGAAAGGTTTTGCATGGATCAACAACAGCCAGGCGCAGCTGCCTAGAAATGCATGGCCACACAGCTGACACAGTAGCCCTTTCAGAGGACAGGCTGGACATGGCAGTGTGGCTGCTTTTACCTTTGCAAACGGAATTTTAAACCAGAGCAAATGAAAGCTAATGGAATGTCAAACCTGCTGAGCCTGGCCAGTATCTGCTGATCGCCTCACATACCCACGCTCTGGGCTTTGTGGATGGTGTTTATCTGGACTCTGAAATCCAGGGGCTGCTCAGGTCCTGGGGTCTCTCTTCAGTGCCTGTGAGCCAACAGGGACCCATGAGAGGCTTTTCATTTGGAGGATCTCACACAGAAAGAATGCAGATCAGCTTATTTTACATTACTATTTCACACCAGCATCTAATTTAAAATTAGCCTTCAGGGGCCAGGGACTTAGCTCAGTGGTTCTGCCACCTGCCTCACAAGCGCAAGGTCCAGAGTTTGATCCCCGGTACCAAAAAAATAAAAAATAAAATAAGCCTTCAACCTCCAAAATACAGTCCACTCCCATCACACCAGGAAAAGCCCAAAATGCTGGGGGGAGCCTGAGAGAAGACAGCGTCGAGCCTCGAGGGGCAGAGCCAAGTGAGATCTTCGTGCTCAGGAAGTGCACAGGAGCCTTCCCCACAGGTGTGTGCCCACACGCCCTGACAAGATGGACATCCAACCCTGCCAGCTTCCACGGCCTGCTGGGGAGGGGCTGACTGAGGGCCCCCAGAGACCCTCACTGGTCTCTAGACTGCAGGCGCTTTGGACTTACTCAGCTCACAGTGTTTTAGTACAGTCAGTACTTTTAGGAGGCCGCTTCCCAATACCTCCCATTAACAATCAAACAGCTGTTTGTTTACTAAAGTAAGGAGGCACAGTAAATTACAAACAAGTGTTCAGAGCTCCTCCAGAGAGGAGGCCCCCGAGAGGAGCTCGCCCTGCCCAGGCCAGCGAAATGGTCCACCCTGAGGTGCGGGCCAGGCACTGAGGAGCCCCACTGCCCAGTCAGGATGACCCTGGGCTGGCGCAGCATCCCATCCCCAGGAGCCTGGTCACAGGGTGGAGCTGCACCCACAAGGGTGGCTCCAGCACAGCTCAGGTTTGCACCCCTGTCCAGCTTGCTCGAGGGTCTGGACCTGCATCTGCGCTGCACCACACACCACTGGAGGCTTGCAAAAGCATCTCTGCTCCCCAGTTACTTAACAGTGTGCAAATGTGCACACCAGGAGCCAGGTTTAATTGAGGCTAACATTTAAACAGTGAAAGCTGCAGCAATCTCGGCCTACAGTCTGGGGGTTAATGCCCCACAGAGCGGGAGCTCTCCTGCCCCTCCCTCCACCCTGCCCCTCCTACACATGATGCTGCCTGGGAAGGAGGCAGACAGGAAACACAAGCCAGGCTGGCTCCTGAGTGACAGAGAAGGAGCGCCCGTCCTGTATCTTTGCAGCCCTCTGAGCAGGCAGCAGGTGCAGGTACGTCTTTCTTCATGGCAAAGACGAGCAGCTTGCTGAGGCCGCGTAGCTCAGGTCCACTGGGCCAGAATCTGAGCGCCTGTCCCCGGGTGGCTCCTGCTCCCCGCCCTGCCTGCCTTGTCCCACCCCTTCCAGCCTGTGGGGACCTGTGCTACCGCACCACACAGTTCCTAGTGCTCCCTGCTACAGCACTCAATGCCCTGCAGATTTATCTGCTTAGGACAAACCTCCAGAAAGGGAACTGCCTGCTTAAGGAAAAACAATCAACAAATGGAGCAGCAGGTGCCGACGAAGCCACTAGAGTGGGCTCAACTTAATCATGTGGAAGCTCTGGTCAGGATCACCACGCTGTGCTCAGCACATAGGCTGACTCAGGGCTTCGGCTCCCCCTCAAGGCCTAACCCAGCTCTCGGCCTCTTTCCACCCACTGCAAGGGAGAGGAGGGGAAGCTGGCATCATCCTGCCACTGGTCCACAACAGCAGAGTCCAGGACCAACATCAGAGGCCTTTACAGGGGGCATCACTGACCGTGGCTGCAGGCAAACAGAGAATGAGCGCTGACTCACCCTTGGCAGGGATCCACTCACCCCGGGAGTATTCAGTGAGTGCCCAGGGGTGCTAGGTCCCGTGCAGGGCATTGGGGCACTGCAGGGACAGGATGGCTCATGATGCAGCAGCCAGGAGCTTAAGGGGTGCAGACAAGGCGATGCCCCGAGCTTGTGACTCAGTTCACATGCAGGAGCTGACACTAGCAAAGGCATCCATCTCTCCATACCTCAGGTCAGGCTGTATCTATGCCACGAGGGCCAAGGCTGCACACTGAGCTCCCACTACACAACTCACACGTGCACCACAGCCAAGTCACCCAGCCAGCTGTGCGGACGAATCAGCTGAGGGAAAAACACCCGCGTCTTGTACCTTCTCCTGGAGGAAACTGAACGCCTCCTACACAGGAAGCACGGAGCCCCAACTGCTTTGAGATATGAATGAAAGTCAGCCCCACCTTCGCTAGCTCTAGGGTACACAGAGAAAACACAGGCTTGGAATGTGGGTGGGGCTGGAGAAGGAGCGGAAGGATGAGAAATCTCACCTCACCAGCATGGAGGGACACAGCCTGCAAGGACAGATGGGAGGAGGGACAGGAGGAGGGACGAGCACAGCCAGGAGGAAGCAGGAGGGAGCAGCACACCAGACAGTGCAAGGCACAGCCTGCATGGGGCAGCTGCAGCCTACTGCAGCCCTGGCCTTCAGAACCCCAGGCTTCCAAAACTCGTCCCCTAGCTGCACCCTGGACTCTGGGTGCCCTGAACTCCAGTGCCCCTGGCACCCAGTTACAGCACAGGGGCCCAACCACCTGAGACCCACCAGACCAAACCATGCCAGGTAATGTCAGCAGCTTCTCTCCACGGCAAGGAATAGGTCTGGACTCTCCCTCCACATGTGCACCCTTGACAGCGTGGACAGACGGGATCTGATGCTGGGTGGGTCAAGGTGGCGTCTGGGGGACAGACGGGACGGGGAGAGGGACCCAAGCATAAAAAGCTGCAGAATCACACAGGGGACCCTCTGGGCTTTGGCCGAGGGCCTTCTGTGTAGCAGGGTAAAGCTGATGTGGCTGGGAGGGGCCACTTCCGGAGCTCAGGCAGAATGGCTGCTCCCCTAGGGCTGGGCAACTCTGGGTGGGTCCACTGGCCTCGTGGCACATGTGCACACTGGAGACACCCTAGGCCACAGACTGGTCCTGGACACATCACCCCGGAAGACAGGCGACTCTGGACTCATCAGAAGCTGAAACACAAGTCCCCACAGGCTTAACGCTGACGTGCAAGTAGCTTCACTGCCTGCCAGGAAAATCCTAACACTTGTCACAGAAATAGAACAAGATCAACCATAAAATTTGCAAAGTTCTGCAACCAAGGAAACATTTCCTAACAGGTAAGAGAAAAATGTGACCACAAGTAGAGGAAAAATCAGCCTGATTCAGGAAAGACAAAGGTGACAAACCAGGGAACAAGGACATTAAAACGGCTGTTATGAAAGTGCTCAATATGCTCAAGGAGCCAAAGGAAAGATGACAGTAATACAGAGAGCACTGAAACAGAGAGAACCATGCAGAATATCTGGAGTTAACTGGGAAATTCCTGAAATTTAGCTCTATGGGCTGGGTGTGACAGCCACATGCGCGTGCTGCTCAAGAGCCTACTGCGGGACTAGGCCTGCCATGCTGACCCTCGGATCCACGCCGCCCCCTGCCCTCCCAGACGGCCACCATCACTAGCTGGACAGGAAGGGTCCTGGCCACGCGGGCTCTCCCAACTGGCCCCTGATCACACACACCCACCTGCTTGGCCAAAGTGCCCCAGACCGGTCCTTCCTATTCCTGCCAGAGTCCTCTCAGGCGCTTTCCCTGACCCTTCCCAGCTGTGTCCCCTGAAGAGAAGCTCTTCAACATCTTATCCCTTGGGCTTGTGTTTCTGGGAAGATACACACTAACAGCCTGGAAGTATCAGTGACTTTGAAGACAGCACTAGAGAAAGCACCCAAAATAAGGCATGCAAAGAAAGAGGCCAAAAGCTCACTGCCTCGGGGAGCTCTGTAAGACATCAATCTAACGCATACATATATGACGTCCTCAAAATGAAGGGGAGACAGAAAACATCTGGCATAATAATGACCAAACATTTTCCAAATGCTCTGAAAGCTATACCCTTCAGTTCACGAAACTCAAAAAATCCCACAACAGGTAAAAACCAAGAAAACCACACAGAAGCATGTCATCATTAAACCAGGTAAAACTGACGGTAAAGAGGCCCAGAGGAAATGCACAAAGCAGCCAGAGACAAAGAGGCTCCACAGGTACAGGGACCAATGATACAGGCAACTGCAGACTTCTCACCAGAAACCAGGCCTGGGAAGGGCAGCAGAGCCTCGCGTGCAGGAGGAGAAACTGCTGGCCCAGAGCCCTCTATCCAATCAAAGTGCCTATCGGTAAGTATATTATTTTTTTCAGACAAACATGAGCTAATAGAAGTCGCTGCTACCAGATCTGTGCTAGAAGAACAATCACCAAAGGTTATTTAGCCAGAAGAAAAATGATGCCAGGCAAGACCTAGCTCCCAAGGAATGAAGTGCATCAGAGATGGTGTGGCTCCGAGGTACAGGGCTGGCCTCGCCTGTGAGGCCCTGGCTCCACTGCCACTGCTTGAAGAAGGAAGGGCAAGTGTAGCTAGTAAATCCGCAAGAAAATACAACAGGATGGATGAAAACAGCCCCACAGAAGCCAGCAAGCCTGGCCACGCCTGGGCAAATGCAGGGAGGAAGAGTCATCACAGCTGGGGGACCCACGCCCACCCGAGAAGGCCCCTCTGTGGCAGCTACTGACACCAAAGCTCTGCCTGAGCTTAGGCTTGCAAGGACGGCTCTGCACAGCCCCACCTACCACCCCATGCAGTGTTAGGCTTATCAAGTAAGTGCTGGCAAAAATACCATCGCTGTTTTATGGAAAATAAGTAGAAAGGCACATACTTATCTTAGTGGGACAAGTAGTCTGATGGCAGATACATCCACAAGAGAGGCCACCCAGGAGAAAGACAAGCACAGCTCCTGCATGACCCTGGTGTGCTTTCCTCCACTGGATGTCCCACTACTGCCTCTGAGACTCTCGGTTCTGCCTCGACGTCCTGCCACTGAGTCCTGCCCTGCACCATGAAGTGTGTCCTGATGCCAAGAGGAGCTCATCCCAGGACTCTCCCGTCTGGCTTCACCTACACCGACACCCACTGTGCTCATCTGCACTCCT